AATAGTGGACTTGTGATCTTCAATGTCCTTCTTGAGGCCTTCTACAAGTTCCTGCTGTTGGGCGCGGTCACCCTCAAGCTCTTGAGCAGTGACCTCCTTGTTGGAAGTGTCACCACCCTCAGTGCGCTCTGCACGCATCGCCTCAACAGAAGCCAAAGCAGCCTCAAGTTCGGCAAGGGTGCCAGTAAGCTGCGTCTCCGAGGACTGCAGAGACTCCAAGGCACTCTGGTGCTTGCCCTTCCACTGGGTAAGCTCGCCCTCCAGGGCACCAATCTTCTTGTCCTGCTCCTCGGCACCAGCATCCATAGCGCGAGTGGCGCTCTCCTGGGACTTGAGAAGACCGTTCAAGTTTTCAATCTCACCAAGCAGCTGCTTCTCACGGGTCTCATGGGCATCACGGAGCTGGTTGATTTGCATTTCCTGAGAAACGACCTGGTCACGCAATTGGGACACCAGAGCCATATCGACAGGCGAGGTACCCTGCAAACTAGACCGTTCTCTTGTAAGACCAGAAATAATAGTCATCTTCATTTCCATCTCCTTCTTCACACTCTGGTTCTCAGCTTCAAGGGACTGGAGGCGCTCCATGCGGCTCTGCAGCTCGTGCATGGTCGCATCCAAATGGTAATCGAAGTTATGCATGGCGTCTGGCTTCTCGGCGAACTCCTCGGTGGCAATCAGTCGCAGCCCGGTAAGCGCGCGGGTGGCACGGTCGACGCCGGACAGGAGGTTCTGGCTGGTCATGCGTCGAATCATCTTGAAACCGGGAGTCGAAGGGGGCGAGGATGACTTGGTGCGTTGTGCCTCTGCCTTCAGCTTTTCAACCAGGGCCAGAATCTCTTCGTGCTCGGTCTGCAACTCGGTGTACTTCTGAGCCAGCAACTCGGCACTCTCCTGGTGTTCGGCCAGCATCTTGCGCATATCCTCAGACTCCTCAGAGCCCACGGGTGGCACGACAGGGGTCGAAGGCGTGGATGAAACTTGCTTCGATCCGCATTCAGAGGATTCGCGCAAAGTGGATGGCTCCCCGGCCGAGGATAATTCCGAGGAGAGTGACTGCGAGAATGAGTGTTGTGCTCCAGACTTCGATGTGGGAGTGCCTCCGTTTCCTAAAAAAGACACGGGGCGAGAGGGCATGTCGGTTTGAAGGTTGGATGCCGCGTGGCGAGCTTCGTCAAGCTTGTCCTGGCGGAGGTCAGCAAGGACCTTGAGGACCTGCTCGTACTTGGATTCAAGCACTTCGTAATCACCCATGGTGTTCTCGTGCTGGAGACGGAGGTCGAAGAGCTCCTGGGTAACTGTCTCAAGCTTGTCGGCAACGAACTTGGACTGAGCCGGGCTTGAGATAGGTTCCTGAAGAAGAGCCACGGATCGACGTGCCTCCATCTTACTGGTGACATTCTCCAAGACCTTCAAATCCTCACCAGAGACATCAGTTTCCTGGCCAGATTGTTCAGCTGATTCATCTGATGCTTCCTGGATGGGCTCGATAAGATCCTCATCCGATTCAGGGATAGCTGTCTCTGTTGCTTCGCCAAGAACATCCAATGATGGCGTATGTCTGTGAGAAGCATGCGCACCGCGAGATGAGTGAGACATTGGTGGGTGATCAATGCCGTCGGGGGAAGCACGGCCCTCAGCCTCGTGGTAGTGATCTAGTTCGTGGAGGAGGTTATCCAACTTTCCAATGCCGCGCTGGCGTTCGATGACATGCTCCAATCGCAACACCTCGCGCTGCATCAGTTCCATATCCTGATCACCTTCCGCAAGTCGCTCTTCGAGTGTGGAAATGTACTCTTCACAGCTAGCTTCGCTATCGCGGGCCCGGCTGAGCTCCTTGCGGAGCTCAGCCACAATGGCAGCGTGCTGCTCCTCGCCTGTGGACTGGCCATCAAGCTTTGATTCCAGCTCATGGAGATAAGTCTCGGTACTGGCCTCACGATCCAAGAGCTTCTGGACACGGGACTGGAGCTGCTCGCGGACGGTCTCGACGTAGGCACACCTTGTCTCACGCTCGAGAAGATCGCTTTCAGTGGCAGACAGAGAGGCACGGGTATCAGACAGGGAAGATTCCAAGCTTTGGATGGTCTTCTCGTACTCCAAGACCATCTGTTCCACAGACTCAGCAAAAGACTTGGAACGCTGCATTCTCTCAACTGAGCTCTTGCCGATTTCCGAGGCAGCATCGTCCGTTTCATGGGTGTCGTGCGAGTCATTGGCCATGGTCGAAATGAGCTTGGCGTGCCTTTGGCTGAGGGAGTTGTAGCTCTCCTGGACATCCAGCAGTTGGTTCTGTAGATGCTTCTCGCGTTCATTCTTGCGTGCGGTTCGCTCAGGGGAGCCTCCTTCCCGTCGGTCGGGTGCTTCGGCGTTGCGAATCTGTTGGCGCAGGAAAGCCACCTCAGCCTTGAGACGATCGATGACAGCCTGCTTGTCACCGTCATCGGAAATATGCTGGATGCGGGGCTTGCTCTGGATGGCTCTGGCGCGTTGGGCGTATGAAATAGTGTTCAAAGTCTCGCTCAGGTGGAACTCGGCCGGAGTCACGCAAGCAATCATATACGTATAGGCATTCCCACCCAGTGAATCCTGAAGCAGTCGGGTGAGCTTGGAGTCACGGTAAGAAACGTGGGAACCCTGTTGGCGTGACGAAAGTTGCGAGATGACCTTTCCGAGCGCTGCCAGACCAGCATTGATGGAAATACCCTCCTTGGCGCGTTCGCCGGAGGCACCAGTGTTCTTGAGCCGCTCGCTACCTGCCAGATCCACGAAGTGGAGCTTGCTGTCGACGGTAACCGACTCACCTGAGAACGAGTCGACTGGCATCGACATGCGCTTCTCCCTGGCGGGGCTGGAGGTCGTTTGGATAGCAGAAGGCTTGCGCTGGACGAGGTTCAAACTGAAGACGGCATGCGACCGAGAGGATTTGGCGTTGATGGCGGTGGAGTCTGTTTGACGGATGGTCGAGCCGAAGTTCAGGGCACCGATCAGATCATCGAAGGAATTAATGTTCACTTGGTGCAGGCCGGTCAGAATAATGCGGCCCTTGGTGTCTTCGCGAATCGTCACGTTGCTGCGGTCATTTGCGGCGGTGGTATCTGGGAGCAGCAAATCTCTCAAGTGCTCGTTATATATCTGTTTTTGTCAGCAGATGTAACGCGTACATAGCCCAATAATCGAAAGCGCACCTCCACGTATGTAGCCTTCAGCTGCCAGGTCTTCTCCTGGGTAGGCTTTCCAAAGTTCGAAGCGGAACTCATCGAATATCGTTGTGGTGTGCGGAGGCCCGTAGTCGAGTTGGAGCCGTTCCGGTTGTGTTTTGAGGGGCCGTCCAATTTATCGAACAAGACCTGCGCAGCACGAGGGATAATACCTAAATCAACACGCAATTAGTCTCCTGAGAGTTGTACAACAGTGGTGGAAACTCACCCATGTCCTGCATGTTATTCTGCTCACCGGGGCCGGAGGTACCCATTGTGAATGATTTTCCAGCACCGGACTGGCCATAGGCCATGATGGAAACATTGTAGCCCTGGACGAAAGAGTTGACACTGTCACTGACGTATTCCCAAACACCCTCCTGCTCAATGGTCTCCGGGAACACGCGGTCGAACACAAACAACTTGCGTCCCTGGGGAACATCCACAGCGAGGCTGGTCGGCGCCGTGACATGGACCATCGAACGTTGGAATCGCTGGGGAATTAACTCGTAGCCGGGGTCGGTTGGTTTCAGAGGAGGTCGCACACGGACAGCTGCACGAGTCAGTTTGGTTCCAGGCTGGGGAATAAGATAGCACATACCGACTTTGACTGCTGTCTTGCCATCCTCGTCGGAGGCACGACTGCCTCCCTGCCTGCTGCTCATGCTCAGGCGACTGTTACTGCGCGGCGTGCGCATGACGGCACTGATGGGTCGCGGGGGTGCACCAGTCGGTGATGCTGGCGGTGAGACTGTCATCTCCCCAAATACCACACCAGGTGGGAAAGAATGAGAATCGAAAAGCTAATTGGGAGGTGTAGGCATGAGGCGCGAGAAAAGGAGATATGCCTATGTGGAGAAGTGTCAGTGCCCCTTAATTTTTTTTAGCAAAATAAGAAGTTCGGCAAGGAAACCCAAACACCCCGGATGAACTGCAGGCAAGAAAGGGAGGAAATCAGGAATACTGTACATGCACATGTACCTGGAGACACCAAGAATAGTTTAGCTTCGAGTAAGATGAAGGGGGGCGAAGCGAGTTCAGGGGCAGTAGTTTTATGTTCTCGACAACTCTATAACTAAATCATCCGGAGTCTTCTTTCACAACTGTAGTAAAACGGTTCTCTTCACCAAAATGATTCTATTTGCCCTTTGCATAAATGCTCCGCGCACATGTTTCAATAGTTACCTTTCCTTGCACCCAATGTCCACTATTTGACGCGCTATATACAGCCCGAACCCAGGTCTCCACAGAGCCTTAAAGTGTGCAGGGAACAGTCCACACGTTCTAGCCGTTCGTTTCAGATTTCTTTGCATGGGTCCCAAGTCCACTTGGAGAAACCTATCCGAGATTGCTGTCTCCCTTTTAAGAGAGAAAGAGAGAAGCAGACAGTGTCGATCGGTGCGCTCACTTCCACATGGAGTCTAAATCGTTCAGGGACGGGCCAGTAAGTCCGATGTAGTAATTTCCCCTGGTTCCACCGTCAGCCGTTTATGTCAGCGGAAGTCACTGGAGAGGCTCTTTGCTGTTCGCCTGAATCATTTATAAAATGGGTCTTATACTTCTGTTCTTCTTGAAAAGAGTCACTCAAACTTAGGCTTAAAACCCCATTATTTCTTGGCCACATCTTTTTTTTGGCTTTACTTCCGCTTTGTCTTTCATGGGTGGCCGAATGACCCACTCGTACTAATCAGACCGTTAAGGGATGATCTTCGATAATTTCTCGATTCCTGGCCCATTCGGCTCGGTTCTTCTACATCTCAAGCCCTGACATCCACCATGCACGTACAGAATTGTGCGTGATCACAGCTGCTCATGTGACTCGCCAATAGAAAGCGGTCCCTTCTTTACCATGATCGTAAGCACCTCGTACAGCACATCGGCGGCAGCCCTGAAAGAAACACGTCAGGTTCGTTCGTCTTTGGATCGGAGACACATAGAAACTTACATAGTTGACAACTCCGCATTGGTATCATACGCCGGAGCCACCTCGACAATATCCGCACCAATAAAGTTCAGTCCGTCCAGGCCACGAATGATAGTCCGCAGTTCGCGCGTGGACCATCCGCCAGTCTCTGGGGTACCGGTGGCCGGTGCGACTGCGTTGTCCGAATTTTAGAATATAATCTGATGGCAGATTTCAGGGTCTCCACTTACAAGCAGGATCCAATGTGTCAATATCAATTGAAAGATAGACAGGGTTGTCTGTTCCAACACGGTCGCGGATCTTCTTGATAATGCCATCCGTCCCTGCATAACAAATGTTAAACCGATTACAACAATAGCGAGAACATAACGGAGTATAAATACCAATTGTATCAATCTCTCGGGCCTCAACAATCTCAAATCCACAGTATCCATCATTCTCATAGTCAGACGGACCTGAAAGCGTGGTACGAATTCCAGCGTGGATGTTAGTGTCGTTCTTCAACAGTCCCTCCATAGCAGCATGATAGAAGTATGTCCCGTGGTTAATAGCAGCAACCTGGCTAGGAGAGCCACCAAAGACCTTGGGTTTCCACGAATCCCTAATCAGAACCAGTTAGCCAATCTGCTACAGTAGTCCTTCAGATGGGACGATCTCCTCACAAGTGACTATCAAAATGAATAACCGTCACAGGCCCATAAGCCTTATTAATACTCCGCAGCAGGGGCAATGTAATAGTATGATCTCCACCAAGTGTAATGACACGAGGAAGGGTCTTACCAGCCCTCGAGAGTCCCAATTTATCGGCATCGGTGAAAGGCTTGCGCATCAGGATACTGTTATGTCCTTCCTCAATTTGCTGGATAGCCCATGCATTGTCGTAGCTGGACCAAGATAACGGATGTCAGCTCTGACATATCATACTGCCCATATCAAGAAACTCACGAAGTAACTGGCACATCACCACAATCCAAAATCCGCATATCGCTATCGAATGGGTTCGCCTGCAACGGTACATTGTAGCCACCGCTGAAGCCCAATTTTCGTGAGCCTTTATGTTCATTGCCATCCATTGGCGGGTGTAAGCCTCTGCTCACTAGAGGGGAATACATACTAGAGATTGAGGCGACGAGAACCTTGTCTGATGCCGCTAGGTCCGAAGCGGGCACCTGGTCTGTAAGAGGTTCCGGTGTCAAAGGGGGCTCCTGTTTGATTTCATGGAAATGTCAGATATGTAATTGATATTCAGTTGAATGTATTTCGAGTTTGGCATTTGCTTACCTAGGAATGCGATATCGTACTTCTCGGCTTCGCTCGACAGGCATGGGAAGTACGGTAGGCGGCCGAAGGTTGAGATTCCGGAGAAGACGGAGTCGGCCTTTGATATTTAGTGACAGAGCTCAATGGTTTCTGTGAGAGAGTGAGGATGTCTCTTACTTGGGTACCGCCATCGCCTGGTAGAGTGTTGTACCAAAGGCTTTGGTGAGGACCGGCCAATGGAGTTTGGCTATGGTCCCCGTGCCCGGCAGCCAGGACAGAGAGGGTAAGAAGGCCTGCGATAGAGGACAGCATTTTACCTGTCAAAGCAGCTCAGTTCGAGATTCCAGAGAGTGTAAAAAGTTCAAGGTAAAATATGAGTTTGATTGTATGAACACAAGATGCAGCGGTTGTCCGGGGTATATGTAGGTCATGAACTGGAGAATATCTTACCCTCACAAATTGTATAATGTATGCAGTGGGCCCATTTTATCAAGTTCCCTTCCAGTATAATCACCACTCCTATCGTTGCCCAAAAGCAGAGACGATTTACAAGGGTCCGCTATCCAGACATTCTGTGCCAAACATTGGCGTCAATCAGAGAGACAAAAAGCATCGCTTACAATGACTGGGCCTGTTCTCTACCGTCAACTTCCCATTAGGGAATAATTGCCAGGATATCGGTTGGCGGGGAATTGGAGAACCAAGACTTGCCGGCGGCATACATCATGATCATGCAGCAAGATTTACCTCATCCCAAAAGGGAAGTTTCGCGGAGTGGGAGCGTGAGACAGGCATTAAAGTTGGGGAAGATAGCGAATACAGTTAGGGCTATTAGCGTATGGTCCAGCTTATCAGTTGGTGATCATTGGAGGAGTCGATCTATACGATTCTTATCAGTTGCTTTGTTGTCCGACAACGGAGGTGAACGGAAGTATACCGGTTGTTTGTTGATTGATTCTTGGCTTTTTCAAGTATAATTGGTAACATTGTAAAATGTATTACACAGGTAACAGCAATGTACTTTTCCTCGCATGCTGCACGAAACAGGTTAGCAAGATATGTAGGTAAGGTTCCGCCAGAATTCGGATTTCTATCAGATAAAACAAATCTTCATGTCTATTAAAAGCTCGCAAGTCCTCAATGATATCATCCCTACTCCCGCTCAACCCCATCTTCTAGGGTCTCATGTACATCCATCCGTAGAAACGCCTTCCGAACCTCAACATCCCACGAACTACGAGCAACAATCCCCCACTCCAAAATCCCAACCAAATACAGCGCAATACACTGACCAACCCACAGACCCTGAAGCCCCCAGCCATGGAAAGCAAGCCAAATACCGAGCGGCAATGCACCGCAATAGTAACTCACCAAATTAACCAAAGCACCCACATGCTGCCGTCCCATACCACGTAAACTCCCGCCACAGCTCCCATTGAGCCCATCAGCAATCTGGAAAAGCGCCACGTAAGGCAAGACCTTAGCAGTAAGCTGCACAACACTCCTATCATCATTGAATATCTTCGCGAAGTGGTCCCGTGTCCCAATAAGAACGGCCAACACAACTCCACCGAAGACCATGCTGAGCACTGCAGATGTATGCGCTGCCCGAGCAGCTCCGGTGCTGTTTCTACTCCCAAGTAGGTTTCCAATGCGCGCGGAAGTGGCAACTCCAATTCCGAATGGGATTGTGTTGAGTACTTGGTCCGCAGTCATGATGACACTCTGGGCAGCGAGGGAGATTGTTCCAAGGCGCCCGGCTGCCAATGCCACGATTTCAAAGGCCCACCATTCTGTTCCAACATGGACAACACCGAGGAGGGCTAGTCTGGCGAATATGCCTAGGTTTTGGAAGGCCTCACGCGACCATCCGCCCCAGCATTCGGAGCCATTGATAAAGCGTGCGTAGAGGACTAGCAAGGCGAATGAGAGCCAGTAACAGAGGCCTGTTGCCAATGGGGCACCTAGAAGGCCGATTCCGAATGTGTAGCAGAATAGATAGTTGAGTCCGGCGTTGAGTGGCGATGTAATAAGAAGGACGTATGTTCCTGCTCGCATGATTCCTTGGAGTTGTCAGTAAATTCCTTATCTAGCTTGTCATGTAGGTTATATGTACATACCTTGCGCCTGTAAATACTTCTTCATGACCTCAAAATAGATATATCCCAGACCCCCAGGGATCAAGTAAGTCAAAAACCGCGCACTATCATGAGAAAGTTGCGGATCTTGTCCCAGGAAGAGGAAGACTGGTTCAGAACAAGCCCACAGGATAGCAACTGGTATATAGAAAAGACCCAAAACCAGAAATCCGCGTTGAAGCAGGATTCCCAGATCATGTTTGTTGGCGCTGCCCGTGAATGAAGATGAGGCAAGTGTATCCAAGGCCGTTGTACCGCCGAGTGCAATCATCCACGCAGTGACCATGGCGAACATCTGTGAAAATGCACTCGTTGCCAGATTTTGTGGTGATGAGCGGCCGATTATCAGCACTGATACTGTTTGGAGACTGTTTTGTAGCGTGTATGCTAGGATCACGGGGATCGAGTCTTTGAGCAATAGCCAGAATTCGGCGAGGACGAGGTCTCGTGAGTAAGGGCTTTCTTCTAGGGTTTCGTTCCATGATGCATCGTCGATTGGTTTGGACAGGAGTGAGGTGTACTCGTTTGGTCGAGGGTTGCTTGACACACTGTCATTGTTGGGGTCGGGCATGGTGATAGAAGACGAAAAGCAGTTTTCTTTCTAGAGATGCTTCGAAGTTTCAATGTACTCGTTGACAACCGTCTTTATCCGGAGACAATTTTGTCACTCCTCACCTTAGGAGAGAAGTGTGGTCAAGTTAGGATTAAAAAGCAAGAAAGAGGCATATCTCAAGATCGTATTCGAGCTCGACTTGATAGCATATTTAGATTACCTTACGGTCTGTACCACCAGCCCAATTTCGGTAATTCAAGTCCCGCTTGTCTCTGCATACTAAGGTATTGCTGTAAAGAAGCCATTGGATTGATAGTCCTTTCAGCTGTTGTAATTTTGCTCCACTGCCGTTGTTGTTTTAGTGTAATCCAGGTCCGACCTCGGATCACACCTAGAACATACACCCGATTTGTGGATTGAATGACTGAATACACTGAAGCCACGGTTCGGTGGCTTCTGTATAGATGGATATACAGAATAGAACGGCCTAGTCTGGATGTTTAGAATGATGTCAGAAGCAACTTTATCGTTCAGTCTTATCAGTGGGGAACGAGGGGGCTGTTCGTCTCCAGCTCTTGCCCTAAAACGGAAGTTAACTAGCGACAGGGATTTGTCGTCAATCGGAGAGTAAAGTCATATCGATAGATATTGTCGTCTGTGTCACTGGTATGACTATTGTGAATGAGGCCTTATCATCTACTCCAATTGCCCTGATATACGTTGGAGAGAGCATGTGCGTAAGGGGCAACCCGAGGATGTCGGATATGGCAACAGTATTAAAAACAAGGTTACTTCATTCTAACCAGAATCTCCACACTATTTATGCCGACTTTACACTATTTATGCCGGAGAGATATGGTCTTCATAATTAGACCCTGTTCCATAGTCTACTGATAGATTCTTGGCGTGGAGTGCATACCCCAGAGATTCTTCCAAGGTAGAACCGAGCAATGCCGATGGATCTTCATCTCGGAAGATTAATTCGACACTTAATTTTCATTTTGAGAAAGTTTCGTGATCAATTGGCTCCTGACCGTCTGCGTCTCTTATCTTTCAGGCCCTTATCATTGTCTTTGACCAGTTGATTGGTTGATTTTGGATGGCTCGCATACACCCCTGTCTCCTCGATAGCGACCAGGCTCTTTAGGGAAAGGATAGACCCTATTCTAGAAGTTTGAGCGTTGCTAACATTTGAGAGTATCTGAAAGGTGAACGTGTTGATTTGCTGCAATTACTGTGTACTGTGCGCAATGAACCTACCTAGTAGTGATGGACCTATAGTTCCGAATGGCCAGAATTCCACACATTCGTCGTAGATCGCGGGTTATATGACTCTATACGAGGCCAATCACTGTCTTGCAGTTCCTTGTTTGCTCCGTACAATGAAGCGAAACGTGCAAATCACATAATCCCAAAGAGTCGCTGATAAGAGATGCCGTTGTGTTACGATTTTCCTAGCCCTGGTAATAAGACCCGATCGAGTATCATGCTAGTTGATAGGAATCGTAATTGCTTGGTGTGCTTCATATATCCTTGAGTCCTACCCGATTATCCTGTATGCATATTTATATATTCCACCTGATACTATAACAAAGTTGCATACCAACATTGATTTTATCTTTGTTGAGGCTCGTTTAACACGCTTCTAACAAAAGACAAGACCTCAACCGAGCAGTATATCATCTCCCACAGCGAAGATGTTGGAGAAGCAGGAGATGGTCGAGAAAGATAAAAGGAACGGTGCTTTTCGTGCGTCAAATGACCGAATTTCCACCACGCCTATCGATCATGGCACCCAGATCCTATACCAGGTGGCTCTCAACAAAAGTGGGATAAAGCTTCATCCACAGCCTACATCAGACTCATTGGACCCATTGAACTGGTCCAGCCTTCAAAAACACACTATATTGGCCATTGTCATGTTCAAGTACGTACTGAACTACCTTCATCTTTGCTAGAGAAGCCAATCGCCGTCAACGCTATAGCTAAAACATGATACTATTATCTAAACAGATATTTCTTGTTCACATATCTTACCACGACGACTGTTCCATCCTTCACCGAAATCCAGGATCAATATCAAATCAGCTACTCGCAGGTAAACTGGACTGTCGCAATCCCGGCTTTAGGGCTATCCGTTGGTCCACTTCTATGGTCTTCACTTGGTGACATATATGGTCGTCGGGCGGTTTTCTTGACCGGGACACTCATAGCCTTGGTGTCAACTATCGGTGCAGCTGCCGCCGATAACTATTCGGGCTATATGGCGGCTCGTTTCTTCCAAGGATTTGGTGTGAGCCCGGCATCTACCGTCGGAATGGCTGTTGGTGAGTTAAGAGTCACGTTCCTTTGGAAAGCCTGTCTAACACTTTGCACTGTCTCAGTCAACGATCTATTCTTTGACTACGAGCGTGGTCAGAAACTCGGTTTATGGGTATTAGCAATAGATGCTGGATTACTTCTTGGACCTACTTGTAAGTATACCCGGACATTTCGTTACGGACCCTGTGCTGAATGATTCTCAATATAGTGGGCGGCTTCCTAGATCTCGTTAGTGCCGCATGGATCAACTGGTTCAACGCAATTCTGTTCGCTGCATTATTGTTACTCGAACTCTTTTGCATGCCAGAGACTCTTTATCCGCGAAACAAGATGCTCCAACAAATGCCTCATCTCGATGGTCACAAAGGTCTCCCTACTGATGTTGAAAAACAATCCGTTAGAGATAACACAGTGGTGTCCACACTCCCACCATCGCCGGAAGTTCTACAGTCAGACCTACGACGAACGAAAAACCTTCCATTCATCAACTGGCGCCCAGTGCCAGGCATGCGTCACCCCAAGCCATGGGATTCAATAACTCGCTTTGTGCTCACCTTCCAGCAACCTGCGGTTGTATTGGCTATACTCGGATACAGTTTTTCTTGGTACTGGTGGGTTCTGTCTGTTATCACTATGGTGCCAGCAGCATATGCACAATACACACCTCTCATTCAGGGATTGTTGTTCCTTGGCTTGCTGCTCGGCACGGTAGTTGCGGAGGTTGGCTGCTCTGGTCGCTTAAGTGATTACATTGTCGAAAGACTGTCAAAGAGGAATGGCAACGTTCGTGTGCCAGAGATGCGCTTGTGGTTGGCGTATCCGGCTATACTGATCACGACTGGTAAGAGGTATCTATACATGGTCATACACTTGGAGTGACTAACGATCGTAATAATACATAGTGGGATTGATTGTATGGGGAGTTAGCATTGACAAGAACTACCATTGGATGGTAGGCCAAGTGGCATTCTTCTTGTGTAAGTACTTCTCTTCAAAACGTATTCATATGAAGGCTGAATTAACCATCCTCTAGTCGCAGCAGGTATTCAAATTGGCAATACTGTGACCAGCAGCTACGTTGTAGACTGCTATCCTCTACAAACAACGAGTGTGATTACCTTCTATGCCGTCTTCCTCAACCTCAGTGCTTTCATAAATCCAGTATGTTCCAGAACCTGATACTTGGAAATTAATACTGCGGCTGACTATTGTTCCGTTCAATAGTTCTTCATTGCGAATTGGCAAGCTTCTTCCGGCTGGACCTGGACGTTCACTGCAGAAGGCCTTATTGTGCTCGTGGGTGGATGTATAGTATTCGGCGTCTTGCACAAATTTGGTGCTTGGATGCGAGCAAAGGCACCACAGCCATCATGGGTGAACCCAGAGTTTGATATGGATGCTTGAGTTCGTTGAAGTATAAGAGGATTGGACTATCTCTTCACTAGGTGTTTAATTGATATTCAAGTATTGTAAATATGAAGGACTTTTTTTCATGAAACTCCCAGTCTAGAGCATGCCCAAGTTGATCTCAGCGTGTAATGGCAAGGCTCGCGAGAGCCACAATGAAGACTCTGAACTGGATTACCGAAAAAGGTTCAGCCATATAGATATCGGGTACTCTATCGCTAAATATTTGCAAAGATAAAGGTCTATCAACAGAGATGCCGAAAAAGAGCGGTGTATATATGTCGACAAAGAAGTCTCCCAATGCGGAGAGAAAATGCTGACGGTGGGCTAATTAAAACAAGAAAGGAAAAGTGGAACGAGACGAGTATAGGAAGAGCACTCCAGTTTAGGCCGATTCCTTGGCCTCGCCCCTGGACTGCGACAGGCTGGGAATATCCTCGCCCTTCAGGTAGTTCTCAAATTCACCAACGAGCTTGCCGCCCTTGACCCAGCGGGCGCGGTAAGCTTCACGGCGCTGTCCAGCCAACTTATTCAGGGCAGGCCAGTAGGTGTCATGGTCATAGCGGAATTCAACATCACCACCGACGGTCTTCATCAGATGGCTGGGCGGGACGTGTTCACGCAGGTCCTCATTGAACTTGAGCTTCTCCCGAGTCAACGGGTCAATGAAGGGTGTGATCAACTTGAAGAATCCCCAGATGAGGAATGGCACTATATCATATGAGTTAGCAACTTGATCCGAGGGCGTACGGTAGAGCAATAACTAACCATTGAGAACCAAAGCCCGACCAAGTCGCTCGGGGTAGTGGTTTTGCAAGAAGTTAAGCGTCTGCTTGGCCTGGCTGGGACTAGCGTTCTGGCCAGACTTGGTCTCGTTGAAGTTGACCAGAAGCGCCATAGTCTCCTGACCAGGGGGCATGATATCAATGACTCGCTCCAGCATGAAAACAAGATGTTCAAGCTGGCGATCGCTCTTCTCTGTGTTCTGGTTGGAGGGCAAGAGATACAGACACGGCCGTCCGTTGATATCAAAGCCTAGAATGACTTGCTTGCCAGTTTCATTCTCAATTGAGATATATTCAGGAGTCAACTTCTCCATTCCGTACTCGCGGCGCCATGTAAGAGTGCTCTGGAGGCGGGTCTCGGCCTCGGAAACATTCCACTTTGTCGCGCGCAGGTAGCGCAGGAGACATTCCCGAGTCAACCACATGCGCTCATCTTCGGTGATGGGTTCGGTCGCCGCATTCTTCTCTGCCTTGGTGGCAACTGTGGTCCATGATGAAGCAGTCTTAAGTAGGGCATCATACTTGGATTGCTGGTCGGGGGTGAGCTGTGCAGGTGGATTAGGCTTCGATTCGTCGAGCGGCTTAGGGAAAGGCTTCTGGATGAGGCCGTCTGCGGCAGACGTGGGGAGTTCGAGGTCAATTGAGTTCGAAGGAGGCTCAGATTGAGTGTTCACTGGTGCCGATGTGGTCTCTGCGGGCGCAGCATCTCCGTTGGCCACAGGCACATCTTGGGGTTCGGTGCTTGCCATTGTCTTGAGATCAATATGGGCTACACAGGGGAAGCTTAAGAAATCAAATAGAATGCGGGAGCCTTTCAGCCGAGCAAATTGACTCGATCGACAGGTCCACCTCGATTGCCGCGATGCTCAAATAATATTACTTTTTTGGGTGATTAGGTCAGCAACGCGGTTTCACGCGTCTCCCCGCGTCAACTTGTACTTTCACCAATTCACTATTCACTGCCAAAGATGGACGCCGAAGCAGAGCTCAATGAGCAATTTGCTAGCTCGTTCCCTGATGGAATCACCAAGGATATCATGACCGAGCTCCTCTCCATGTTGCGAGTGCATTCGATCACCGCGGAGGAGCTCTTCTACAAATGGGAATCCTACAGCATGAAGATGGGCGAGGGTGTGACCCTGACGATAGAGACAGTCCGAGGCTTCAAGCAAGATGTTCAAGAAGCATTGGAACGGGAAAGCCGCAGCCACGCTGGTCGGCATACGGAGAAACGAAACGCAAACACGGCAACCCCGCGCGCCGCAGCCGCAGCCGGTGGTGATATGTTCGGGATGTTGGATCAACTGACTCCGAATGCCTCGAACGTGAGATCTGCCGGTGGTTACGGATCGACAAAGCGCAAGGCCGAATTCTCCTCGCCCGCTACACCCAGAGTCAAGACCGAAAAACTTGGATCGCATCTGGGTACGAGGACGCCGGGGACTCCTGGTGATGGAATGCAGTATGTCCTTCTCAAAGTGTATGTGTATAATCTGCTAATACCAAGGCAGATCAGTTCCCTTCGCAGAACGACCCAACCCCGGCCAGACCGTCGAGACACTCAATTCACATCTATCCTTGCCAGAAACACCAATGGCACCATTCTCCGAAGCGCGGATTCGGCCAACAGCCAACACAGATCTTAAGAAGTTTGGTTACAAGCCAATGGGCATGAAGCTTTCAGAAGCATCAGAGATTCTAGACGACCGTATCGACGAGTTCACGATGATATTCCAGGCGCAATTCAACTCAGACGACATCACATTTGGAAGCGCAGCCACACAGAGCACAAGCGAGATCATTGCTGTCGGAAGGATCGCCTCGGACAGTCTAGAAGGAAAGCTGAATCCGGCTTCCCTTGTTCTCGAGACATCGCGCCGGACTGGAGCCGGCAGACGTGTACCTCTGAAGGTGGACTCAGTACCCTCGGCCAACTTCTTCCCAGGTCAAATTGTGGCTCTCCGTGGTATTAACCCTTCTGGTGAATACTTTACCGTCAAAGAAATCCTCCCGATCCCTCTCCTGCCGCCTGCCGCATCTTCGGCTGTGGCTCTGGACAACATCAACGACCGAATTGAAGCCGACTCCAGTCTGCCACTTAATGTGATGATGGCGGCCGGTCCCTACACCTCAGATGATAACCTGGACTACGAGCCATTGCAAGAAATCTGTCAAAAGGCAGCTGATAGCTTCGCCGATAGTCTCGTGCTCATGGGCCCCTTCTTAGACATCGAGCACCCGTTGCTCGCATCAGGCGATTTCGATCTGCCAGACATTAAGGGTATCGACCCGGACACAGCTACCCTGTCCATCATGTTCCGCCACTGCATCTCATCACACCTGGCACGACTCGCAGCAGCAGTTCCCAGTATCACGATCGTGATGGTTCCCTCCGTGCGCGATGCACTCAGTCGACATGTCTCCTGGCCCCAGGAGCAACTTCCCAAGAAGGAACTGGGTCTGCCCAAGCAGGTCCGCATGGTCTCGAATCCTGTCACCCTATCTTTCAACGAGACTGTGATTGGCATGTGCTCGCATGACGTACTCTCCGAGCTCCGCCGTGAAGAAGTCATTCATGGCCGGCCAACGGAGGGCAACCTACTCACCCGTCTCCCCAAATATCTCGTGGAGCAACGCCACTTCTTCCCCTTGTTCCCTCCAACTGCACGCGCAAACCTCCCCAAGCCTGGGTCAGAAAGTGGCATGGCCACGGGCGCTATGCTGGATCTGCCCTATATGAAATTGGGCGAGTGGTGGAACGTGCGGCCAGATATCCTAATTGTGCCGAGCATGCTGCCTCCTTTTGTCAAGGTGAGTTATACATAGAGCGTCTGCCGGCTTTGGAATACTTAACCATACTAACCATATAATTTTCTGCAGGTTGTGGACAGCGTCCTAGTCATCAACCCAGGTACCCTGTCAAAACGTCGCGCGGCAGGCTCCTACGCACAAATGGCCATCCACCCTCGCCTGGTAGCAGAAGACGAGCGCGAACAAAAGCAGCTGAGTCATAAGCTGTACGAGCGCGCTCGGGTTGATATCAACCGAATCTAGCGGCAACCATAATCATATCGCATCGTGCGCGGCGTTAGAGGCTGACCAAACAAGCCTGGACGGCGGCCATTTGTTTTTACAATAATGGTTCAAGGAAAACGCCACAAATGGAAACGAATCAATGAACTATTCAAACAATACAAAACAAGCATCCATCCCACCATGGATCATGGGTATCATAATAAGGCCATCCAGCGAAACACCAGTAAACTAAGTCACCCACACACTTATAAACCAACCGCTCAAACCCCATATACCACAAACAATCACCTCAAGCCAACCACCCTCCTACCACCCATCCTCCTCCCAGCATCCCTCACCCTAACAACCGGCGCCCCAGCCGCCGCAGCACCACCCCCACTCCCCCGAATCGTAGCCCCAGGCCCAGACCCAGCCGCACCAGCAGCACCCGTACCCCCAGCGGCAACAGGACCACTAGCCCCATGCCCCTCACCATTCACAAGCGCCTCAAGCCCGAGATCCCGCCAAACAGCCTCATGCCTGCGGTCCATGGCGCGCGTAATACCAAACGCGGCATGCTGGTCCGGCACGACGTCGTCTTCATCTTCAGGGTTTGGGGGCTGGTATTGGGGTGCGACGTAGATGTCTTCGATGGGGAGGAAGGAGGGGATTGTGGCGGGGGAGGTTGAGCCGTAGGTTATTGTGTTTGCGTCGCGGCTGTTGCTGGTGCTGTTGTGCGGGTCGTTGCTTGGGTTTGTTGCTGTTGAGGTGTGGGGTCGCGTGAATTCCTCGAAGAGGTCGGCTAGCTTTGGTTGATGCATGTGTAGATATGTTGCTGAGGAGTCTTTGCTCTTGGGGTGTTGTTAGTTTGGGTTGGAGTTGGAGTTGGGATTGGGTTGGGAAATGAGGGGATTGTGGAGGAGGATTGGGGATTTCTAGGCACCATTTTGAATTTTGTTTCACAGCCTGTTGTTATCTTGAGGTTTGGGTGTTCTGGTTGTACTGTATTTGTAGAGAGAGCAAGATATTCAACAGAGTTCGCTGTTGCTTGTCAACAGCATTGAAGGGCAGAATACCGCGCTATCAATATACCGCCTTTATATCACACTAGTCTATATACGGCTAGTTTTCACTTGCGGCTCCACAAGCTTGTTTCTCGAAGTGCATGCATCCATGCTACAACCTAGGCTATTCTGATTTCCATACTCCCTCGAAAGAATAAAATGAAAATTGGGATGCATTGTCCGATTGATACATGTAAGAGATCTATTCCATTCACAACATATCGCAACCCCTCCAAACCAACTTGGAACTCAACACATCTTAACCAACCCATCAAAAAGAAAAGCCAAGAATCATACAAGGATGAAACAAGGAAGAAATCCATATCCCTTTAAAACACCAGCTTGAAAAATTGCTGGTTCATAATGCATTCCGAACAACGAGAGAGCAGACCCGGATATCACAAAGTCGAGGCCTCAGGAAACTTTTTAATTGCAGTACAGGCACAGACAGACAGTGGGTACATCACAGATTCGTACTAATGCGGTGAACAATGGGGACAGCGCTAGGTGGCAGACTGCCCATCTCGGTGACGACCATATCGACGTATTCGGCAGGTGTGACATCGTACATGATGTTCAGCAGCTGCAGATTAGGTGTTTCCTTCCAATTTGCGAGCGGGGACGTAGAAGATGACGAAGCAGGTGTCTCAAGCGTGGGTGCGGCAGTGGTGGGTTTTCCACCCTTCTTATTATCAGCCGGTGCAGGGGTGTTGGCTCCGGGGTCTGGCAGGCCGGTGAGTTGTTGCGGGGGTAGGGAGGAGACCAGCTCGTCAGCATCGGCAATTTCGTTGACAACAATGCTGTCGAGTGCGACGCGGTCGGTGAATTTGACAGTCTCGCAGCAGACGATGACGGGAATTTCAACGCCGCTGGCACGTTCTTTGGCGGACATGGCGACTAGAGCGGTACCGACACGAGAGTACAAACCGCCGTTGCTGGTCATGGCGTGGGCGCCGAGGAAGACCTTGGTGGCATCCTTAATAGCGTGGGTAGTGGCATGGACGAGGGTGTACTGCACATCCAATCCAGCTTTGGCGAGTGCGCGTGCTAGACTCTTGCCTTCGAACAGGGGTCGCGAGTCGATGATAGAAACTCTGAATCGTTTGCCTTGATTGTGTGCTAGTAGAAGCGTGTCCTTAACAACGTTGCTGCCAGCAAACGTCACAATCACATCACCATCTCGAACCTTTTGCGCCGCGCTGGCGGCAATAACCTGGCCGGCAACAGTAATCTTCTCGCGGATAAAGCTGTCAATGAAATCGCACAATGTAGCCTTAGCGGATGACTCGGGGGTAGAAGGATCGATGGAAGAAATAGCCAGCTTCAAAGCACGGATAGCATTGCCCTGGGTGATCGAAAGAGGCCGACATGTCGAAAGATATGTGATCTGGTGCGAGAGATGTGTCGTCAAGTGGCGTGCCAGCGAAGTACCCAGAGGGGTTGTGTAAGATTCAACGACCTTCACAAGAAATTGTCAGTAAGATCATCCAGCAAAAAAATTTCACAGATAAAAGAAAACATACCCGCTTGAAAGCAAGCAACGTAGCAACGCAGCGCGCACTACTTCCACAAACAACATAATCCCTCAACTGCAATCCCAAAGCCAAAACAGCAGGGTGAACCTCCTTGCCAGCTCCAGCAACAGTAGTCCTCCGCTGCTGGCCATACAAATGACCAAAAACAGCCACCTTCTTATCATCCTTCTTTTTCTTCTGTTCGACCGGCGCACTCTGCGCGCCAAACGGTCCAGGTCCAGATCCCCGGCGCGGAGGCGCAGCCTTCCCACCTTTCTGTGCAGCACCACCAGCAGCATCCTTCTTCGGCGTGGTGGGGGCACGAGCTTGACCACCAGCACCAGGCGCGGCACCACCAGCAGGACCGCCAACCTGCTCTTTCTCGACCTTCTCGCGCGCGCGGCGGGCAGCCTTTTCGGCCTTGGCCTTCTTCTTCAGTTCGGCGGGTGTGAGGGCTTTGTCGGCATTGCCGGCGGCGTCAGCGGGGGCGGTGGCATCTTTGGCGATTGGCTTGGCGGGTTTTGAGTCGCGGATGGGGAGGGTTTGCGGAGCATTTTCTGTGGCGGGCTGAGGCTCGCTCGCGGGCGTAGGGGCTGGTGACGGCGCGGTTAGCGCTGGGCCGGTGGGTTCGGCCATGTTGTATGACTCAATTATTGTGTAGGAGGGGTTGCTTTTGTTGGAGCTTGGGTTTGGTGGGGAGAGGGAGAGGGTTGACTCACGGAAAAAGAAGTGATGCCATAAGCGGCCCACCGAGCGCCGCAGCCCTAACCGCCGCCGATGGACGTGTATACTCATGGCTATTAGGTAGGATTGAACAATATCACACTTGAGTTAGGACAGCTGGTACAGTTTCAGTATGGATTTATTCAGTAGGAAAGCTCTACGAGGTGCTGTCTCATGAAATAGGCTTCGTTTTGGATAAGGCCTGAAAGAAACTATACCTAACAGCAGGGCAAGAGTGGTCAACTTGAAACAGGCATCGCATCAGGTGTCTCATTATTCATGTCAAAGGTCTCGCTATCAAATAAAGAAATCATGGGCTAAGAATAAGTCCAGGTGCTGCCCAAAGGTGGCAGGCGTTGCCCTGGGAGAGTCGTGGTCCCAATCTAAACAAAGAGCAGATAAAATTCGCCGCCCAACACCAATCAAACCCTGTACACGCAGTAAAACATAAAGAAGGGAATATCCACATATTAGTGATGGTTGTTAATTTGTCCCAATGCACGTCGTTTGCGAGTTCCGGGTTCCTCGAGGGGCCGGAACCGCTCGTGATCGGTGGCCAACTTTCGCTTGAAAACACTCAGATCACCGAGAAGATCATGCATGTGGTTTTGCATTCGGTGAGCTTCTTGCTCGTTGGCATCGTGGGTGATGGTATCGTCGTCCTCCCAGACATCCATGTCAGACTCGGCATCTGACATAGGAGAACATTCGCGGTCGTCTGACTCATGGCTGGGCGGTTGATTCTCTTCTGGCACCGATACTATGCTGGGTTTTCTTTGATCGAGTGTGACGGCTGGAATCGGGTTCTTGAGACTGTCGACGGCCAGTTTCAGGTGCATGCGCAGAGCTTCATTTTCTGTCTGCAATTGTCGAATTTTGCACTCGCTGACCATCTTGGTCTCCTCCATGAGTCGCTGCATCTTTTCGACTTTTTGCTGGTACTCTTCGAGTCGTTCATCTGAGGCCTCAGTCGCCCGCTGGTGAACGGCTGCTTGGCTCACACTGAGCTGAAGGGTACGAATCGTCTCTGCCATCTCCGCGATTTGCGCATCGCGTTCAGCTGCGGAGAGTTGGTCCTGATTCACACGCGCCCGAGTTCGGATATTCTTGGCTTGGTCGGCATAACGAAGGGTGGAAAGTGTTTCTTCATAGTCCGCAGGCGCGATACAGGCAATCATCGCTGTCTTCGAGTTGCCACCAAGGCTGTCTTTCAATAGCCACGTAAGAATCGAGTCACGGTATGGAACCAGCTCTTTGCCTTTGCGTACACCGCGGGGTTTCTTGGGATCTGCTAGAGCGGCAATGACACGACCTAGCGTAGTCAAAGACTTGTTGATGTTGGCACCCTCACGAAGTCGGGCGCCTGTTGCTTCGGTGGATTTGGCACGTTCGGAACCAGCCAGATCAACCAACCGAATGCGGGCAGTGCGTTCAGTCGTCTCGTCAGTTGACAAGTCATGGTGGATCTGTTTCAACGTGATGGTGAAGACGGCATGGGATCGAGATGAGGTGTCGTTCATCTTTGTGCTGGCTGTTGTCCGGGAGACGTCTCCCTTTCGCATGAACTTCATCAGCTCGGTGTAGTTCCGTGCCGTCACCTCCGTCAAATCTTTTACATATGGACCCTCTGACGGTGATTCACGAATGCGGAGATAATGCGGGGGATCGGTTCTGGGGACCAAAAGATCTCGGACGTGCTCGTTGTATACTTCAAAATATGAAACTCGAACGTTGTAGCTGATATCCGGAGACGGCGAGTTCTCAATGCGCTGGAACAAATCCTCGCAAGTTCGAGGAATCAAACCGGGCCTATCTGGCGTGCCCATCATGGTATAACTTTTTCCTGAACCCGTTTGCCCATAGGCGAAGATACACGTATGGTACCCTTCAAAGTTGTGATCCAAGAATTCCTCACCTAGTGAATTGTATACATCTTCCTGGTGTGCGTAGTGATCGTCCTCCTCATCATGCGACCAAAACGAGTTATCGAACGTGAATGACTTGTCTTCCAGAATCTTGCCACGGGCTTGCGACTTTGGCTTTCCGAAGTCGCCAGGTTTTGGTTTCGGGGCTTGGAGGCAAGTCATTTGTGTACGCGGGTCCATGGATATCAAGCAATGCGCGTTGCGCTCGATTTCTGCAAGGCAGTCAGACAACGACTTCTACTTCGTCGACGGAATTCTATATCCCAGTCCCAGGCATCACCTACCTCGAGGCAAGAACTTTCGCACTCGTACGACGACGCGCACATTGCCCCCTGGCGTGGGGCTGGCCATTCCATCTCGGCCGGATAGCGCTACGCTTTCCCGCGCGCGGAAGGACGGACTTGAAGCGGAGGATCTAAGGGTGGCGGCGGAGGCGGAGGTGGAGAGAATGCTAGGCGAGGTGATTCCCGTCGCGGCGGAGAGTTCGGAGGAAGCGGCTGATGAGATCGAGCCAGGGCCCGGATGGCCGATGTGGTGGTAGAAGCGCGGGTCCAGCGCCATGTCCCTGTTGTCCCTCAATAGCTGCACACAAGCGGTGACGGCGTCGCGTCGTCGGTCAAGAAGAGATTGGTACATGCAATGGATTGAACAAAAGAAAGGGGAATGTAGAATGACAGGGCAATGGGCAATGTAGAGAGAGAGAGAAGGAGTGAAAGGGGGTTCGGTACTGTGTTGCGCGTTGTTTCCTGGGTACGTTTCAGGTCAACAGAGACTCTAGAGGTTCAGAGCCCTGGCATTCTGCGCTATGCGCAAGTATTCGGAGAAAAGAAAATATAAAAAGAACGGATGGCATTCAAGATAACATTTGTTACAAAGATGCGTTATACAAGTGTCTACGCAGGTGTCATGGTCTACAATCCGTTGCCACAGCAATGGCAGGTTTAGGTTTCAACTCCATAAACTCCAGGCTCCGTTGGATCTCTTCGATTTCCACTATAACAATTATATCACACTTTCACTTTCAATAATTACGATTAATCAAAGTCGGCAGTTTCAGCGTTCATGGCTGTATACAGGTCCGCATCGTCGTCGAGCACGTCGCTGGGCTTCTTGGCCTTGTTGCCCCAGGCAGGATCGAGGACGGGGTCACCAGCGGCGTTCATATGTTCACTCAACAGCTGATTAGGTCCAAGCTCACTCTGCTGTTGTTTGCTAATGCCGGATGTGTCCTCGGGTAGGCCTTTTGTTGCGGCCTGCTTCGCCTGCTTCGGTACGTCTTTCAGAGGCATGACTTGTGTATGTTAGCGTTTCTGTATAGATCGAACATCTCCCACAACCACCAACTCCTCTCACTCTTGTCCAATCAGGGTATAAGGGGTAAGGGGAGACATACTCAGTAACTGGTGTTATGATGGTGTTTTATTGATTGTGTTTGGGTCATAGTTTGGTAGTGAAAGATCAGGGCAGAGCGGACTATATTTATGAGCTGCGGTGGCGGTATGATAGGATCATGACGACGACATCTACCCCAAGAACTTCTCCGCACTCGCCATTGAGAGAGATATTTAGCGAGTGCCACCAATTCCATAGTGTTCTGTAAGTCGTATATTGGGAGCCAATTGATTGTTTTGAACAAGACCCCCTCTGGTGGAATGGTCGGGTTGAGGCGGTTCCGTGGATACGGAGCTCAAAGCATCATGGTAGTTATGGTTGCCACCGAGCTCTCTTTCGCTCTATTCCATGACTTGGAGACTGATTCTATCCTAGCTCACTTTTTGGTGGCAATCGAAGCGCATCGATCCTGTTGGTCGCCCTCTGTTTCTCATCTTCGTCATCTCATAGATCATGGATCATCCAAGCATGGATGCCCTGAAGTTGTATTGGACATAGCCGTATTCCAATGAATCATTACGTTTAATATGCCTGAATCCTCAGTATATCTTTATATAGGGAGATAGGGAATCTTTGAAACAAACAACCGGAACAAGGTTTATGTTTGCCACACTGAATGTCAGGGATCTATACAGGATAACTATCCAACACTACAACCTAGCAACGCGGGGATCGAATAAAAATATATCGAAAGAAGCTACTATTCTTTGTACGACATATCAATGGCGAACGAACGGCCTTTCTAGCAGACCCTGCGCATCAGCCCTGTTTTTACGGACCTGGCTCTGCCCGAATATATTATTTCAAGTCACATGGCTCTACAGTTCAAATTCTCTGAATCAGACTGTACCGCAAAATCCATTGACAACCTAGATTTAGTAATACTAGACACTCTTGAAGCTGACAGCCCTAGAGAGTGTCAAAGATCTGACTCACTTAACCTCCTAGAGCGCACGGTGTCGCAGCGATACATCACGATTGACAGATGAAAATATCGCGTGTTATTTCGGGGAAGAGCATGCTTTTGTTGTTATTGGGGATTTGAAGTAAGACAGGAGAGAATGGACTGCGGTTGTTTTTGTGTTGGGCAAGTGGCTGCTTTGAATTAAGACTATTATTTGTAGAATGAAGGCTTGGAAAGTCGGATTTTGGCCGAGGGTTGAATCAGTGGTGCATTCCTGGGTCAAGGGATTGTTTATATGAGCTTTATAGCGTTGGTTGGACGCCTGTTGGCTTGGAAGGGGATATGAAAACAGAACTTTTGCCAGTCAGTGAAGCCCACCATATTCTGGATCTTCGACAGATATGTACATGTATATATATGTACAGCTTCCGCGATCTCTGAAAGGATGCTCTCCCAAGAATTTCAACGCCCATAGCTATACATAGCTCACTTTTATCAATCATGATCGACAGGCAAAACAGCCACTCAACGGGGCGAACCGGTACTGGAATGTGGCAATGAGACTGGAGAATCTTCGCCCATCTTTTAACTGTTTATCAGATAAACTGTATTCCAATTTCGGCATGACCTCAAGTGCCATTCAGGTCTGATACGTTGCGGAGTGCGGGTACTTGCGGGCCTGGGGTACTGGTAGCGTTTCCCAAGGGAGGATCCCTTCCTGACAGAAAGCACTGGACTCGTCTCAAAATCACATACATGGCTAAGTAAGCAGAAACCTCGAATGGGGAGTATTCTTCATCTGTATGGCGGACTCTGCAGATCGGATGTAGCTCAACATACTTCAATTTTGGCGTTAAGCGCTCGAAGCGCAGGCCTGTGCAGCCATGTGGGCTGCATTCTAGGTAAAAGTCAAGGCAGCCAGCTCATATGAAACGAAAGCAATCCACGTAGCCACGAGGGGACATCCGCCAGCCAAAATTGATAACTCGAGAATTACCCGGGAGTGAAGTATACATACAACCCTGCAAGCCTGCAAGCCTTCCCTCCAACCAACAAGACCCACGTTCCCAACACACAAGAGTGATGATCCAATTCCCAATCATCTCGTTCGACTATTTCCAGCCAAGTCCGGCCAAGAAATTCATCGGTTTAACAGAACACCCTGGAGTGCTTGGCGGTCAAGTAAACATCTTCGACGAACTCAAGCCGATCCACCCCGACGAGCTGATGGGCGAATGGGATGGGTATATCCTGACCACGGGACACCCCTTCGAAGACGAACTGGAGACACTCAATTGGTTCGGTAACACATTTGATTCTACGGACGACGTGGCTCCGCTGATTGTTGCGCGGAATGGTAAGCGGGTGTGTTTTGAGGACTGGGGGGCGTGCATCGGTGAGTACAGGGTGGCACAGGGTATGCAGGGATCTACTTGGGATCTCGGTGTACGAAACATTCTGTATCCTTTCATTCTGACCTTGGCAGTTACGTGAGATCAAATACCACGGCGTGGTTTCTGCGGCTCTGGTGTATGATGAGCGACCCACGATAGTCTATTATCGAGCTGTGAAACATAACATGGTTGCCGGGTGTATGGAAAGTAAGCAGTTCGAGGGCAGAGTCTATTTCTATCTCACGCGGTAGGGGGTTCATGTATAAAGGGGGCGTACAGAGAGTCTGGGTGCAACAGTTATAGATCGGAAATGGTTGGCTGTCTGCACATCCTTAATTCAGCCCTATCCGAGCTCCACATGGGACCAGGCAGCAGCATTGTGTGTATTCAGTGTATTCAGCGTATTACAGGGTTTGAAGGAGCAAAAGGTCTCAATAAAAGTGAATTTGTTTTGTATCGCCCGTACGTTGTAAGTATTGCGCGATCACCGCCGAGGTCGGCTAAGTTTTTCTCGGGAGTCGCCTTGACCCGACCAGGAACGCCGATTTTTGACTCACCTTTTCTTTCCGTCTATTTAAGCTACGTGACGGGAGCGCACTTATTGTGTTATACTGCATTGAACAGCCTGCACAATGGAGAAAACAACACAATCCCCAGCAGACCTTGAGGCCTCCCCCAACGTCCCTGTAAAGCAGGAGTCCAGCGTATCCCGACGATGGAAGCAAAACCTCTCAACCACACACGCAGACCTGGTCTGTCTGCTCCTCTGCTTCCTCACCGGACTATGCGATAGCAGCGCCTACAACGCATGGTCCTGTTTCCTCGGCATGCAAACTGGTATGATTTATAGCGTCCCGAGGCCGATCTCGCAAGGGGCCAAGCCAAAGCCAGTACAAGCGCAAAACTAACAGACCTCTGCTCACAGGAAACACCATCTTCCTCGGCCTGGGTGCCTCCAACCAGCCGTCCAGTAAGCCTTGGGGCTGGCTGAAGTCCCTCGCCTCAATCGCGTCGTTCTTCTTCGGCGCAATGGTCTTCTCGATCGCAATGCGCAGCGTTGGCGCCCTCCGCCGCGGAACCCTCTTCGTCTCCTTCTTCGTGCAAGCCTGCCTGATCGTCATCGCTGTTGCCCTGATCGAAGCCGATCTTATTCCTCATACTTCTGCCGACGCTGGCCTCGACGGCGGTCCCCTCTTCCTGGAGTTAATTCCTATTGCCCTGCTGGCTTTCCAGTCTGCTGGCGGTATGACTTGCTCTCGGTCGCTGGGATATAATGAGATTCCGACTGTCGTCTTGACGAGTGTTTACTTTGATATTGCTTCTGATCCTAAGATCACCGATAAGCCGACTACCAATGTTAAGCGCAATCGCCGTATTGGTGGTGTTGTGTTCTTGCTCATTGGTGCGATTGTTGGTGGGTGGTTGAGCCGGAGTAGTGGTGGTATGCAGTCGGCTTTGTGGATGGCTGCTGGTATGAAGTTTGTTGCTGCCATTGGGTGGTTGTTCTGGAGTGCTGCGCCGCCGAAATAGATAAGGCGTGGTTGTTTTGGCTTTGTTTTGGTGGAGATTTGTTGTAGATAGCATTGGCTTATTAGACTTGCATAGATATCAATTTAATATTTTATACAGACAGTTACAGTTCCTCGGGAAAACACTTGGGGCATTTCAAGTCGTAGTTTATATGGATACTAAAGTCTCATGCATAGGACAGTACTATCCAATATTGTAGTCCAGTCTGCTCCTACGCTGTACTTCCCTCTGTTTTGGTGAACTACATAAGTACATGGCTTCCATTCTTCAATTCTGACATACATGTAGTCGCCCTCATCTCTCAATCTTAGTTGGCATTGAATACTTATCATCTCTTCTGCCTCACTAACCGGCCCTTGACGTTAGATATCATAAGTACAACCATATACTCATTCCCTATATCAATGGCCCGTTTAGCATGCCCCCAGAACATAAGTACATCAAACTACACAGTGATCAAGCCATCCAAGTAATTACATCCCAAATATGTATAGGGTCACTACTTCCAAGTCTTCTCAACTTCAACACAATCCTCCTCAATATCCCTCCACGACAAACTACCCCACCTCTCGGGTCTCTCAAGCGCGTCAACAAAATGCTTCAAAGCCAGCACCGTCTGCGCAGCCCACCTCTCCTTACTAACCTTCCCAATACCAGCAGCCAAAGGCGTCATAAGAATCCTCCCAATCCTCCTCCCATCCCCATCCCCATCTTTCCCTAACCCCCGATTCCACCCCTCAACCTGCCCCAACAAACTCCACACACACTCGTAAACAATCTCCCGATCCCACTCCACAGAGCCCGGCTCACGCATAGTAGGACAAAGCGCAACCCAGGCACACCCAAACAGATTCCCCTTCAACTCCTCAGGGAAGGGAACAAGCGTACACGTCCCCGGCGGTGCGAACCCGCGCCATTTCTCATATAAAATGGCTTGCGCGGCTCGCGTCACGGCATGGTAGTCGTTGCGGGGACTGAATGCTCTTGAGATTGCGGCGTCGAAGGCGCCGTCTAGGCGGCCGTAGCAGTTTGCTGGGGAGACAATTAGGTCGAAGGTGGTGCCCTCGGGGAGGGAGTTGAGGCGTTCGTTTATGGGGGTTATTTTTAGGGCTTGCGGGTTGTGGGTTGGCCAATTTGTTTGTAGGGAGGTGTTGAACGCTGTGATGAACTCGTCGTCCATGCATAGGAGGAGGATTTCCGGGATGTTGGTTGTCATCTTTGGATTGGGGAAGGATTTGGGGTTGAAGGGTAGTTTAGAGTAGGGATGTAGTGAATTTATAGAGTTGATGCTGCCATGTGGCGGAGTTCAAGGCATCAGCTTAATTATTGTGTATGCGGGGTCGAAAGAGGCTCTATTGCCCGATTCTTCCATATATTCTAAGTATTGATGTTGAACTCTGTTTATTTTGCTACCTTGCTTTGCCGCTGTGATTCATTTGTAGAGCCACTGCCTTTGGCTCTATTTAAATTGAAGAACTAAGCAAAAAAGAAACATGTACGTGATCCAAAGAGCCATCGTGGCAGTACAAATCAGAAAACAAGAATGATCAAAAGCAAAGACCCACGGGTATACGCAAGAACACAGCTCATTCATTCATCCAATCCAATATCTCTCTCTTTCTGAAGAGTCACCTCCTCGGAATCAGCACCATCACCATCCCCAGCAGCACGACTCACCTGAGTCGACACATACCGAATCAAGCTCTCACACAACCGTTCAAGAACCCATTCGGGCTCCGTCTGCGTAGCCAACATGGGACTATTCTCACCAATCCAATCCCAATTAAGCAATCCATACTCATCTTCATTCATATTTACAGGATCCTGCGCACCGGGTGATCGACTCGCGGAAGAAGACGGCCTCGTCCGCGGATCCGTAAACTGAATCAACCGTGTAAACTCAACCCATTCCTCATAACCGTATCGTTTCCGCTTGCCCTCGCGTACATGTTCCGTCGCACGACGAAGGGCAAAGGCAAGCTGCTGGACTAGTTCGAGTGGTGATGGGTCACGGGCTAGTTCCTCCAGCGTTGGGTGTGGATGTTCACCGGCTACCTTGCCGAGACGGGTAGGTCGATTGATATCACCTGAGTCGCGCCCATGTCCTACATCGCCATTTTCACCTCCTTCAAGCGCGAATCCGCGTTTCACTCGCTTCTTTTCTTGGCGGGAAGCGAGGAGCTTTGTAACGCCAGGAATCCGGCTAAAGAAGGATTTGTAGATGCCTGACTGAGGGAGAACGGTGTAGTCGCCCACTTTATTGGTTGCATGCTTGAAACTTGCAACGACTGTATCGATCATTTGGGAGATGAGTATTGTCATCGTTGGGATGGCGATTAGTGACCACAGCACGAAGAAGGGTCTTCCTGCGTTCGACTGGGGTGTGATGTCACCGTAGCCAATTGTTAATAGTGAGCAGAAGCAGAAATACAGGGATTCGTAGTAGGACATTTGTTCGAGTTGCCAGAATACTATTGCACCGCATGACCATACAATTCCGAATGCGACTATGCTGATTATCAGGTTGTTCCAGCGACGGAAGCGTATTGTGTCGTATTGGATGCGGCGCATGGCGTCAAATCGATCTTTTTCTTCGCGCATTACAAGTAGTCTGGGTCGACGGCCTGTGGCAATGGCATTGATTCTGGTGCGAATTGGTCCATGGCGGTGGTGATGGTGAGAGCTTTTGGACTTCGATCGAGTAGGAGTCGGGGGAGCGACTTCCGTACCGCGGATGGGGATCTTCCCTTCGGAGACTGTGAGCTCGCCAAAGCTGACCGATCGATTGAATGTTGATACCCGTTTCTGCTCGATGTGTTTCCGGATCACGTTCTCGTAGTGAACTTCACGGGCAAACTTATGAATGCTTCCAACAACCAATCCTAACATGATAATTCCAATGACTGCATATGGCCAGATGAGACCTCGACCAACAGGTGTGATGGCAGTTATGTCACCGAATCCCAAGGTCAGAACGGTGACATCGCAGAAGTATAACGCATCGGCAAAGGAGATATCAAGTACGCTTTGGAAGATGGCCGCTCCAATTAATAGCCAAATCACAAATGCAGTCATCTGGAGAATCAATGTACGTTGTTCGTCGGTTAGTGCGAAGTGCTGCGGGTATCTTCCTAGGAAGTATCCCAGCATATTGATCATCAAGATGCCGCTTAAGAAGAAATAGAGACATGCTGCAATCACGGCGCTCCAAAATCCTTGTGAGTAGACATGGTCGGGGCCGACTGGTGGTGCATAAACACTCATGGCTGCTGTAATCCCACAAAGCTATCGTAAGTATCAGTACGATGACCAAAACTAGACAGATGCGTCACTCACAATTCCCGTAGCGATGAACCACAGAATGATAGTAACCGGTAGCGCGACAATGTATCGAATGACTTGCGTAAAGTTGAAAAGCAGAAAGATGTTTCCCACAACGCCACAGAAAAGTGAAACAGCATTTAGAGCAATGGCCCTGGTAACAGCATTAGAAAGTTCACCACAACTATAACCGCACGATCCTGTCTTCACTCACCAAGGAGGATCCGGATATCCTTCCTCCAAATAATTCCCAGCTCGACCTGGAGTCTTAGAAATAATATCATTTCGCCAAGGCTGAATCAGCGCAACAATCGACATAACATTAGCAAGTGGACCCGTCGCAGCTGCAATAAGAGGAATAGTCGTAGAGGCAATCCACCAAGTCTGCGGCTCATCGTCTTCAGCCGGCCTCATATGAAAATGACCCTTGATCGATTCCCATCGTGAGAGCCCGGCAGACCTGTCGTCCGTGGGTATCTCGGCTGTCACAGACCCATGCTGCATCGCGCTAGCATATCCATGCGCAGACCGAACTGGATCTAGTTGGAAGGGGAAGGGTGGAGTGGCCGATTCAGTTGCAAGGGAAGTAGGTTTGAGTTAAGCTCTTGTGGGTACCGTCAAGGATCGCGTCCTAAACTGATCTTGATAGGGTGAGATTGCATCGGGTCAACGCGAAGGATGGGTTGGGATCGTATGAGTTGTATGCGCCCTATATGTTTTCTCCCTTGATATGTCCGACAGGACAAATATTTAAGAAGACATCTTCGACTCGAGGTTTGAGGCGCCAGTATCACGCTGTAAGTGATGTCAAAGCGTCTAGCTTTGACCTTGGTCCCGTGACTGGCTTCCCCACATGCGTCATCATTCTAACGAACTTATACTGTCAAACCGACAACATGAAAAAAATGATATACATGTACGAAATCGACAAGTAGCTTTGTTCAAGCGATAGGGGTGAGATAGAGGTGAGATAAGAGGCCCGATATGGTGACGTGCATCATAACTAGTTATGTTTAGGCAAATAAGCATGCATGGCCACATGGTTAGCAGGTTTATACATGTAGTCGATTTTATCAAATCTGACGGACATAATCTTTAACTCGAAAGTGAGACCCATCACTCTAATAAAAGCTTACTATCATTTGTATCACTCGGTATTTGCTACCACTTCCAGGATAGAGTGTCAGCAATATAGTTCGCCCAAAACCAACTCGGGTCCATGCTCCTTTTTAAACAGCCTAAAGTTCCGAGACAACATCTCACAAGCTCAGTTTAACTCTAAAGGCAACTAGTAAGCTAAAGCCGAGCCTCGAATTGGCACCCAGTACCTATACATAGACCCATTCCACAAACACAACAGTCCCCAAACCAAAACCAACACACCGGGCACAATAACCCAACTAATAATACTTCCAAAAGAACCAAAAACCCATGCAACCCATGCAACCCACCCAAATGCCAAAAATCCAGGATATGATGCACAACGCAACCCCGCATACACATGCATGTATAACCCCCACCAAACCCACTGATAGGCTTGCCACCCCCCCCTAAACCCCCAACCAATAACCAAAACCGCTACAATTAACCACCCCTGAACCAATAGCAACCCCAACCACCTGCATAAACCAAAAAAAGCCAAAGCCAAAGCCAAAAAATCAAGACGTCAAAACGCTGGGACCTACACTTATATTGACAGTGACATCAGGGCCCGTCATTTGGGAATGCAGTACCTGCTTTTCGAGGATTGGACCTGAAATTAAGAAGTGTCAGGCAGCCAACCAGAGACCTTTGTAAGTTGTACGGAGAAATAAGTTGACTAGTGGCATGTTAGTATGTTACTAGTACTGTTGGTAGTGGGTAGTGGATAGTGGAGGTGGAGATGGAGGGGTTCTACATACTGTACTCCGTACACTGCGTACAGCGTATGTACACTGCTGTATGTACATGTACATGTACGTAGCACCTTAGGGCGGGGTAGTGATCCACACTGCATGTCGGTAACTTTTGCTGTGCTCTGCGCCGGTGCCGCGAAGCGCTGGGGTAGCTTCTCTATCACATATCACACGTCTATGAAGGGGGCTACGTGGAAATAGTATGGGTACTACAGTATGGATACAGCTACGGTGTAATAGTATGGTCGGGAAGTACATGTATACTATAACATTACTAAGGAACATGGCATGATTGGAAAGTATAACGAGTGTCAGGGTTGGTCTATCGGATGTTGGGGTCGTGGTTCTATGTACAACCCGGATTCCTCCTCGGACCCAACATCAAATCAAGCAATAGCAAAAGTAAAAAAGTAAACGCAAAAGACAGAAACACAAAGCAGTTTAACGAGAAGTAAGAACGGCTTGCACGTATATAAGAAATCGCAAGATGGTATCATCAAAGCAGAGTGAGACGAACATCAACGACAAAGCAGTAATCAGAGTTGACGGCCAGAAAAGAGAAAACAAAGATTAAACAGAGGACGCCAGTGATGGAATAGAAATGATAAAAAAGGACGCCGCCCCATGAAGGAAACGAGATCAAAATCGAGGCGCCGGAACCAAAAACAAAAAGAACATGTATCTTTTTTGGTCGTCCATTCCTTGGACGATATCTGCCGATGAGATCGAGAAACAGAGTCAGAGTAAATGCAACGTGCAAAGCTAGCCGGAGTCAAACCAACGCGCTCCAAATGCAGTTCAACAAGCGTCAAACGCTCCCAGTGTAAAGATGAAACGAAATAGGAAATTCTCTGTGGATATCATAGATATCATTCTCGGTAGTCGGTAGTCGGGGAAAGGTGTGAGGTGCGTAGAGTGACATTTACATAGCCGAAGGTCGGCGCAGAATGTCTTCGCAGTTGGCATCGAATCGCATGTTCCAGAGCCGAATACTGTTCATAAGCTTCTCGGTGTTCTCAAGCTCCCGATCACGACCGAAAATAGATTCGACAAATTCACAGCCCGCATTACGGCCCATAGAAACAGGCTTTCCACCGCCTTCTCGCTTGGCGGCCTTCCACATGTAAAGTTCACACCCCTTGAGGAGCTTCTTGAAACGAGCCCAGAGGCGCTCGCCACTTTCCAGGAAATCTTCAACGACTTCCTGTGCCTCCACGCGCTGAATGCGTGGGAGACATTCGTCTGCCCTCTTAACCTTGCCCGCCAGCTTGATCAACAAAAGCCACAAGTCGCCAGCGACATCGGCCATGGGCGTCGAGGCGCCGTGGTGGAAAACGGTCCAGTCGTAGATCCACTTTCCGAGGGAATTCGCATCAAACACACTGCCGAGGAGAATGATCGGTGCCTCGGTCGGATCCCAGTTCTTGATCGAATAGCCTGCCGGGACACCTGCTCGCTCGGCGTCATCTTCGGTAGCAGTGGGTGGGGGTTTCGCGGCGGGAGCGGGCTTGGGCTTGTTGGGGGTGCGCGTGGAAGTGGACTGGCGCCGTGCGCGGGAGCGTCGGGCAGCATCGATATCCTCGTTGTTAGGAGCCTGGGTGAAGTAAAAGTGAGAATCAGCTGGATTTGATTTGCGGTAAGAGGTCGATGCGCGACGGTGGCCATCGCGCTTGGGATTCGAGGCCGGGGGATGGCCTGGGCGACTGGGACGGGGCTCGCGGGTGGTGCGCGGGACGTCGAATGCATCATCGACCACATCGACGAAGATGGGTCGCGTCTGCGATTGCGACGGGTCGAATCCATAGCTGTAGCCGGGGCCATAGCCGTAGCCATTTCCGGTGCCGAGGCCATCCCCCGTAGGATGACCAGCCGAGGAGTGGTATCGACGGTGTTTGGGCATGTCCGCAAAAGAAGCACTTACATGATCGTGCTTTCGCGATGGAATGCCAAAGTCTGGCATGGCTTCATAGAAGCCGTGCGGGTAGCCCGAGGTCGAATACCATCCCCCCGTATCTTTGGTGGCTGTGTAGCTGGCCTTGCGGTTGTGTCGTCGCGAAGTGCCCCGGGGTGAGGAGTATGTGTTGGCGAACTGAGAGGCGTAGTAGGCGTAGTGAGGTGAGGTTGGAGGAGACTGCGAGTAGTCGTAGGTGGACCACCCTGGTGGTGGACTGGAGTAATGATACATTATCGAACGAGCATAGAGCAGTTCAGATTGTAAATGCAATGGCAAAGAGACAAAAAAAAAGAACACCGAGTATATTATACAGGATATCGTGCACCCAAACAGAAATCGACGCCGATTCAGAACTGCAGGCCAGATAGGATTTTTTGGGGTTAGGACCGTCACCGCGGTACGGTTTCCGATCGAAGAGAGGAGGATTGAAACTGAATGTGCTGAGAGGGCATTTGAACGTTCGGTCTCGATCCACTGAAGAAGGGAGAGTGCGAATAGGGGGGAGCTCTACCAGCTACCAGATGGGCAGAATCCTGATAAGAAAGACTCCTGACGGGGAGCCCAAGAGTAATAACAAAGAGAGAGTCTCCCACAGAGAAGTTAGGAAGAGAGAGAGTGGAGAGGGAAAAATTCGAAAGGATGAAAGGAGAGAGTGATATTGGCGCCAACCAAGTGTGTGTGAGTTGGCGTGGGCTGTGGCGTTTGGTAATACACGTACTGGTATTCTATTCTATTCTGTTCTATATTTATTAGATTATAGATTTAGAATTATAGAATTATATATTTGATTATATAGAATTCTTGATCTACTCTCTAGTTATGGGTCTTTTATACCCTACACAGACCCTATTGTGACTCACTGTGGCGATTCTTCTCGAGCCACCTACCACTTTCGATCTGGCTCTTCTCCAAAGTACTATGTCTACCCCTCAGACTAGTCCAACTAGTCCAGATGTCTCCTCGATATGCAGAGCGCTTGCGAACAGCCCCTCAGTTGACTCGGACAACTGCATTTCCCTGTAAGGCAGCTATATGTCGCCCAACTTTGCCTCTCTGACTCACTTTGATTCAGCACCTGAGCAAAGTAGCAAAGTAGGCCCATGGAGAGCTTGATCAAAGATCTCACTGGCCGCCTTACAGCTATGGGCTTAATATAGGCACCCCTCTATCAGGTGGCGTGTCATAGTTGGGTTGGATGATCGCGAAACCATGTGTCTTCCAGAAGTAGGGTACATTTTCCACGGGCCACTTCATCTGCATGAACACCATAGGTGAGTTTGCCCGGAGGAATACTGGATGGGGGAAGTGGTAAATATCTACAGCGAATACGAAGAGGCCTGCAAAAGTACATGTGAGTATGTGTCTCTGCATATGTTAATGTAGTCCCAACTATAAGATGGATCCATGGTTGGGTGGTAACTCGATCGCGATTTCACGGCCCATCCCGTCTCGTCCAGCGGTTCACTTATTCAAGACTCCACTATAGATATTCTCCGAATGTCGTTACAGATACACGTTGCCATGGCAAGAACTAATGAGCCCCATCAGGGTCTTTGTATTTACACACGCTTCGCTTGTCTTGTTGGGCAACATCACGGACCATGCATGGGCTTTACCGCTGTGTCGCTGGGCAGCAACCGTCTACTTTGGGCCAA